TGCTTTGTAAGATAAGAGCCAAATTTAATTTTAGCAGAGAAGAAATTAATAATTTGATTATTATTATCAACTTGAATCCAACCAATACTCATTGTGCATTAGTTAGTAACAATATCAATTACAGATCCATCAGTATAGAAAGATAGTTGTTAATGAAAAAGATTGTGATGTGAAATAGATAAGTTTGTTAGTAGATTTACTTGAAATAAAGATTTCAAAGATAATTGAGTTAGTAATAGAAATATTAGATGAAGAAGAAATATAAGTTGGATGTTTAATAGCTATAAAGCAGATAAGATCCAAGTAATTGGCATTGAGATTAAGTTGGTGCTTTAAATTAGTTTTGCTAAGGAATTATACAAAAATAATTGTAGAACTTTAATAGTACAGATTTGATTAATTCTATAAAAATTAAGATAGCATCTTGTACATTGTTTGTAGTTAACAAAGAGTAAAAAATAAAATCATATATAGTTTAAATCTATATTAGAGGTCTAATAAGTAATAGAATAGTAGTTAGAAGATAAAAAATATTTTTATATTTTTCTAATAATAATTTCATTATTGTAGTATAAAAGTAACCAGAGTTTAAATTTAGTAAGTTTTTTGAATGTATTAATAATATAATAAGCATAAGAGTTGTGATCTGATGATTGATAATATGATAAGATATTTTAATAATAAGAGTATGCTCAAATTGTATTTTCTAAGTAAGAGTACCAAAAGAGTTTTTTGCTTTTAGATAAGTATAATAATCTTGGTGAGAGATGTTTTCAGTTAAATAAAGTGCTGTTATCTGCAATGCAGAGTTGTTTAAAATATATAATATTTGATTGTCTAAGTTGCTTTTTAAAAGTTGAATATTTTGGATGCTATGATAAAATAGACTTTAATGATTGGCTACTGTTACTAATTGTATAAGGCTAAGTTAAATTGGAATTAACTGAGATAGTTAACCCAAAATGAGAAAAAAGTTAAGTAATTTTAAAATTTAATAAATGTTTGTTAGGATCATTTATAGTAGGTTTGAGGTGATATAATATACTAGTAGAAGACTATAGGTTATTTTGTAACTGTTGAAGTCTAATTTGAGTTGTAATACCAAGAAAATTAGGATTGCTAATTTGTTGGAAATAGTTAGAGATGTGATATTAAAATTGGATATCCCAGATATTATATATATTGTATAAGAATGAATTAAGTATTATATTGTTTAGTATAGATTTAGAAAGATAAGATTTATGTTTAGCTATAGTAAGGTATTTAGATAAGATTTGATTGCATACAGTACAAAAAAGGATTATGTTATAAAGTCTGTATTCTAAAGTTGGAATAATAACTATGTTAATAATATAAGCAATTTGTTTGTTAGTAATTTTCTTTGTATTGGCTATATTAATAAGGCTAAAAGACCTCTTCTTTTATTAGTTTGATGGTTTAAGAATGTTTGTTGTTAAGTATAAACCAATATCCAAGAAACTTGAATAGTTGGTTTTTAGAAATAGAGTAAATTAGTGATTTAAAGAACCACAAAGAAGAGGTAGAAGAATTTGTAGCTAGAATAAACTTAGTTGAATTAATTTGAATATTGGTTATATGATAAAAGAAAATAGCAGTTTTGGTTATTAGATTAAGTTCATCTTTGGATTTTGTAATTTAGAGAATGTCATTTATGTAGGCTAAAACTAATACTGATGTTTTTAAGCATTAAATTTAAGATGAGTATAAGTTGGTTTTTCAGAATATAGACAAAAGATATTCTGAAAATTGTAATGCTATTTTATTAATTAAAAGGTTATAATAGATTCTCTAAAATAAGAGAGTTATAGTTTCTTCTTGGTCTATACTATTTTTAACTGAATAAAGATTATTAAGTCTAAGATTAAATATAACATGATTTTGAAGATTTATAAATATATTAATAAGAGGTTAGGGCATTGATATGTATTCAAAAGATTTAGTAAAAAAATCAAAATTTATAGAGTTATATGCTTTGCTTATATTCTAAAACAAAAGTCAGAGTTGTTTGTTATTACAACTGGCATCTTCAATAATATTATTAAGTATATGTATAAGGATGGAAGTACTATTGCTAGGTAGAGTAATGTAGTTATAGAGAAATAAGATAGAGTATTGAGTGAATATTAGATTAAGATAATTAGTAAGAAGTTTGATGTATAGTTTTTTAATATGTTCAACTAGGCTAATAGGTCTTGTATTAAATAAGTTTCTATTAAAGATATGTTTTTTAGATATTGAAAAGATGCAATCTTCTTTTCATTACTTGGATATATAGTTGGTTGAATGCATCAGTTAAAAAAAGCAGTTATTGTTTGAAGAAAGGCAGAGCCAGCCTATTTTAGCATTTTATAGCTAATTCTAGATGAACTGCATGCCTTATTATTAGGTAGCTGGTTAAAAGTTATAAAAATTTTATTTATTAAAAATTTAGCTAAAGCTAAATTGTAATAGTCTGGTCTAGTTGAGATTTTAAGTTAGTATTTCTCTAATCAGTTAAAGTTAAATTTATGAATATTAATAAGCCTATAAGCAGTTCAGTTATCAAAATATTGTTTAATTTGTTTTTTAATAAGTTTGAATCTGTTATAATGTCATTTAGTGTTTTAATATTATTGATTTTTACAAGATCTTTATGATAGTTAAGTATACTATTAATTATTGCTTTGGAGTTAGTTTGAAGTTTGGAGCATTGATTAGTGATATATTGGTTTATTGTTCTCAGATTTGCTTGATGTTTTCTATATTTCAAATATAATAAAAAGCTTATCATTTAGTGTTAATATTAGTAATCCAGTTTGGTATAAGTTTATAGAGATTAAGTATAAGATCTATATTAAGTTGGTGAGTTAAATTAAAATATAGAATTGAAGAATTAAAATGTATAAATATTGGTGTTATATTAGCTAGAAAAGATTTTACTTGTCTAATAATACTGTTTAGTTTTTTAAGACTTTGATAAAATAAGATAGATTTAGCAAGTATTTTAATTTTTTATAAATTATAAAGATATAAAGTTATTGTAAATATTGTAATAAAGAAGAGTATTGTGATGAACTTAGTGTATCTTATAACTTAGTGATTGAAATTAGGCAATTTTTATACCATTTGATTCATCTTTATAAGATAAATTGAATAGTGCAAAAATTGCCTAATTTCGATCACTAAGTCATGAAATATCATTGTACAAGTGACAAAAAATTAGCAATTTAATAAAAATTATAGCAAAATTAGATTATAATATAACAAAAATAAACTATTTACTAAGTAAATTGATGTCTGTTCACTAATTTAAATTATCTTATAGTTCTAAATTACATATTCCAAATTGAAACAAAATTTAAATATTTAAAAATTTTTATTAGCCAAACATTGTAGTGAATTATTCTAACTATTAAACTTAAGTTTATATGCATAAACTTGTATGTATTTTATGATAATAATATAAGTTTATATGTTGTAAGTGTAATAACTTAAAAGAGCTTTTTACTTGTTTTTAATTTAGCAATGTTATTAATATTAAAATTTAAGCAAATTATTATTTGAAAGTGGGTATAAGTATAATGCTAATTAGGCTAATCTTTATTTGTATTACAAAAAAAGTAAAATTTAAATATGTAAAGTAAGCAAAAAGATTCTTTATTTAGTAGTATAATTGTGCTTAAAGAAAGTATTATGCAATTGTATAGTTGTTCAAAAAAGATTTTTCTCTAAAGTTCTTATTAACTTTTCTTATATAGTCTTTTTATTAGACTTAAAATTAGTGATTATGCAAAAATGTGATTATTAATTTTTATCTTGAAAAATGTTATAATTAGTACAAAGCTTAATAAAGTATTTATAGAATTATTATATAATTTTAAAATACTATTTAATTTATTACAATATTATTTGTGATATAAGTTATAGGATTATAAGTGCATTATGAGTTTATATATATTATGGGTATCATATTATAGGTTCAATTATAAGTTTGTGCTATATAACTCTGATTTAGATGAAGTTTCAGATAGTAATTCCAAATAAAATATAACCAAAAAAGTTTAAGCATCAAATTCATATTAATTTACAATAATTTCATATCAATTAACATATAAAAAACTGCAATCTTTTATTTAGAACTTTAAATATAATTATTTAGATTTTATTTATTTATTTATTTTATTTTATTAGATATTTGCTTAATTATTATATAAAAAAGCAGTTAATTAAGTAAAAAGTAAATGTATAAAAGTAGTCAAATAAATAACCAAATAAACAAAAAAATAAAAATGCATTAAAAAATTTTAACTCACACAATTTATTGATAAAAAAATAAATAAATAAATAAGAAGTTAAAGCAAAAAATAATACAAAATCAAAAACAATAAAAAAAACCAACTAAAAAAATCTAAAACTGATCAAAAAAAACTATTATAATGCAATTGAATTCATTCTAAAAAAACTTGCTAACTCTAATAATTTTAGTGTAAATGCTGTGACTGCAAACTTTGGAATTTTAGAGACAACATTTAGACATGCAGTAAAAAATAGTCATTACAATTATTGTAGTTCTGCTACAGTTCTAAGTAGCTATGAAAAGAAGCAACTTGTAGAGTACTGTAAGAATATACAAAAATTAAGGTTTGGCTTGATGAAGTTAGATGTAAATTATTGTATAATAAAATTATACAAAATAATTATCACAATTATTTTTTTGCTAATAAAGGATTAGGTAGACTTAGTAAACTTGTTTTATAAAAAACTATTCTGATTTATCTTTTAGAATGCCTTAAGTATTATTAGAAGCTCATGCTCAAAAAGCCAATTCAGTAATAATAAATAATCAATTTAAGAAATTACAAAAGATAATTCAGAAGTACTTACTTATCTTAGACTATATTTGAAATATAAATGAGACTAGTTTTGTAATTGTCCTTAAAATTCAAAAGGTTCTTATTATAAAAAGTGCCTATCAAGTCCATAAGGTCTCATATAAAAATATGCATAACCATATATCTATCACCTCAACAATTTCAGCTATAGGTGATTATATACCTTCATTAATTTCTACAAAGGCATTTGTACAATTTCAGGTTTATTAGCTAAAGCTCTTTTTGACAATATAATAGGCTTTACAAATTCAGAATATATGCAAGAAAATTTGTTTCAGATATATATCGAAGACTTTATTAGTTTAATTCTAGCTGCTTGCTCAGTTTTACAAATGCATAATAGTCACAAAAACTATATAAATTATAAAAGCATTAAGTTTTATTATAATAATAGAGTTTATTCTATGCTCTTTCTTCTCATATTATATATATGCTTCAATCATCTGAACTTTCTTTTACTAAACTCAAAAATGAATATAGCAAAGATTGTAACAAGCTTCATAATAATAAGGTAAAATGGTTACTAAATATATGTTCACTAGTATTCTCAAACCAGCATTTGCTACAATCTATACTTCTGAGACAATTACTAACACTTATAGAGTTACAGGAATTTAGTTTTTTAATTTTAACATAATTAGTTTAGATTATTTTGATCCTTCATTAACTACTAAACAACCTAATTTATTATCTTTATCTTAGCCCATTCAACTAATTGAGAAAGAATTATTAATATTAGCAGTCATAACCTTCTTTTGATTAATTCATATTTGAGCCAGTACTATTAAAGAGCTGAAATCATTAAAGGAAGAAGTTATATCTCTAGAAAATAAAGTAAAACTATTAAAAAAAGAAAATAAATTAATAAAAAAAGATTTTATCTTAGCAAAAGAAAAGTTAGAAACATATAGTATAAAAAGCCTAGCACCTGTTCACTAAAATTGGCTTTTAAATACTCTGTCTTCTGACTTCAATCACAAACTATAGAAGTAAACTTTAATAGCACTACTTAATCTTAGTTTCAGCTTATAAAAAGGAAAAAAACCTTAACTTTTTTCTGTTTTTGTGCTAATAACACATCTTTACAAAAGCTAAAAGAGGCAGAAAAGTTAGCTAGAAATAAGACTGAAATCATAAAAAAAAAAAAAAGAAGCTGTCATACAAAAATAAGCAAAACAAAAACAAAAGAAAGCTGAAACTGCAAGTAAAAAAAAAATAAAATAAAATAAATTTTGAAAATAAGAATTAAAAAAAGTTTTTTTGAAAATAAGTAAAAAAAAATTTTTTTAAGAATAAAAAAAGTTTTATCTGTTATTGGTTTTGCATTACAGTATAATAAAAAAAATCAATTGTTATTTTTTATCTGCTTTGCTACAATATTCTTACTAAATTAAGAATTGTTACTACTTGAAGATTTCTAGTATAAAATTATAAAGTCAAATATATATATATATCTATATAAAGCAAAATAAAACCTATATATATATAAATTAAAATTTACTAAGATTCACTTTTTTTATAAACTTCTTTAATAAAAACTATTAGCTTCATTACAATACTTACACTTATATTATAATAAATTAAATTCAAAATTTATAAAGTTTAATCAAAATAGTAAATTTACAAATAAATCTTGTTTTAAGAATAAGGTAATTACATATTATGTAACAATATAATTATTTAATTGATTAGTTATTTTATTACAGAGTATAGGTTATACATTAATAGAATTAGTCAATTCTAAAAATATATTAAGAATATAATTCAATTTTAGAGTACATTTTAAATCTATTAAAAAAGCAACTAAAGACCTATTAAAACAATACTTTTGCATTTATAGCTCATTTAAAAAGCTACAGACACATTATTTCATATGACTTATAGGCACAACAATATCAGAAAAGTCTTTAAACATCTATTATTCATATGATTTTTGCACTTACCAAATATAAAATCAACTAATTAAGACTAATATAACTCTAATCTTAACATTCAATAGATGCAACTAGTAGGTGTCTAAAGACTTTTCTAATAATATTTTATTCAAGAATTTTCATTTTTATATAACAGTATTTAAAAATCTTTAAATTTATTTAATTTAAATTAGTGTTTATAATAGAGCTAAATCTTTTGAAAAATAATAGTAAAATCACTCAAGGAATTTTTTTTGTTAAAATACAAAAAGATTTCTTTTGCAAGTTTTTGAAAAGTAAGTAATTTTTAAAAAATAAATAGTTTGTTTTGATTTTTCTTATTATATAACATTACATTAAAACAAGACTTGCTATTGAATGATAATTATATAAAAGTAAAAATTTGATAGCATTAGCTTGAGTTAGAATTAAAATTAACTTTAAAATAAGTATATTTTAGTAATGTTAGTTATTGTTGTATCTATAAGTACATAAAGTATTGTGTTTGTAACTAAACAGAATTTGGGTATATATGTAGTATATATATAAGCATAAATAAAGTTTGATTTTATTAGTTAATAATGATTAATATAATTAAAAATTCTGATTGGCTAATTTAAATCATGTTATTTTTTTTACTATTACTAACATATAGCAACAGTGCCTGATCTAAAGTAAATTTTTCTTAATAACAAATTAAATTATTTATATTAAATTCAATTATAATAGATATAATTTCTTATCAGTTTTAATATATATATAACCTTAACAATCTTTACTATATTGCTAACATTATTAACACTACTATTACTATATATTTGCTATTAATGCATTATTTTAAGTTAAGATTAAAGTTTAATCTAAATATTAAGACTAATGCAAAATAGCAAAAATAAGCTTAAATTTTTATGTTAAAAACTTTTACTTAATAGTTAAAAGCTAGTTGGCATAACAAATTTTATAATTTTATAAATTTTTTGTATTTTTTTTGAATTTTGTATATTGCACATGATCTTATAGTCAAATTGGTTTTTATTTTATTATCATATGTTATTATTTTTTTAAATCTAATAACTTTTATTAAAATAAAAAAATTTTTAATATAAGTATTCTGCAAAATAAAGGTTCATATTCAGTTCAAAATTGTGATATAAAAAGTGATTGTTTTTATTAATTTACCCAATTGGCATATGAAAAAGCCTAAAAAAAGAAACTTATATATCTTATAGCTATTTAAAAATTGGGCAACAATTGTGTACTAGTTATTATTTGTGTATTATTAAGTCTAACAGGTATTAAAAGATAAAGGTTTTTATTTCTAACAACAAATATAATTACAAAACTTTGATCAATAATAATATAATACAAAGTAAGAATCATAATAATCAATATCTTAGTTCTTGAGCAAGATAGCTAATACATAATTAGCACTTTGTATTAATTATATATTAGTTATTTTTCTTTAATAAATTTAAATTTTTAGATATGATCAAATTATTTTTATTAAGTATTTTAAACCAATATTTATTTAAATTAGTAGATTATATATTTTTTGAGCAATTTAAAATGCTTACAAACCTTTTATATAAAAAGCATTATAAATTTAGTAGTTTAGAACTTAATTATAATCTCTTTCAACAAATAATTGAAGTAGCAAATTTATATTTAAAAGGTTTCTTTAACCAAATAATAGAAATACCAATTCTTAATAACAGAACTATAATATCTACAATAAAACTAAAGCAAAAAAAATTAGTTATAAGTTTGTTATATCATGATAGAAATAAGAAATAAGTTTATTTATAACTTCAAATTAGAAGTTAGATTATATCTATTGGCATCAAGAATATTATACATTGTAATGAATATAATGCATAGTATTAGATTTTTTTTTTGCTAACAAAATGTTAATAATTATATGTAAAAGATTGCAAATAAGTATTCTAGAAAAATTAAAGAATATTTCTCTAAATATGTAAATCTAAATTTTGAAAATTTTGAAAAAGTTTAATAAAAAAAGATCTGTATAGCTTGCATATATAAATACCAAAAAATAATTCATAATTCTTAAATCTTTTATCAATTTTTAGTAATACTATTTATTATTAAATATGCTATTAAAAATTGATAAACATTTAAAAACAGATTTCTCTTAGCACAGCTTATTAGTATAAATCTATAAAGATCATTATTTAAGTTAATTAAATTATAAATAGAAATTATAAATATAGTTTCTAATTTTAATAAATAGAATAATTATCTATATGTTTATAATTTAAATAATTACTATAATATTCATAAAAAAGAAGACCTAATATAGTGACTTTGTTTACTGTGAAACATATAACCACTTGTGTTTGCAAACAAGTTTTAGCTTGTATATTAGTTTCTTTGATTTTTAATAGTATCTTGATTTACAATCTAGCAAATATAAATGCAAGCAATATCTGTTTTCAATTAATTTATCAGTATTATAAAATATTTGATATTGCTTATATAAATTATAAAAATTAGTGACTTATCTCAAAAAAATCATATATTAATAATTTTGATCAAACTAATTTACTTATAATTTATATCTATAATAATAAAATTATAAAGAAAAAAAAAAAGATTAATAAAAAAGTATACAATTAGTCAAAATTAAAAAAAAAATCTACATTCTATAAATAATTATATAGCAACATTTCAAATAGTTTTGAATATTAATAATAATATTCAACACTTAACTAACAGATCATCTTAGTAATGACAAATTGGTCTTAACAGTTGTTTATTTATAAGATAATAATAAATTTGTATAAAGTGAATTCACAATGTTTTATACCAACTAAAATTAATTATTTAATTCCAATGATTAATCTTCTTTATATCTTTTTAAATAGTAAAGAACAGGTACTAATCATATATTATTTTTTTAAAAAAAGAATATTTTATTCTATATTTGATAAAAAAAAAACTTGTCAAAAAACCAAGACTATAAAGAATTAATTTATTTTTCAATCTCATTTACAATAGATGATACAAATTTTTTATATTTTTTTTTAATTTGGCAGTCCTGCCACTAGTTTATTTAACACTTTGTAATTTTACAATAAATTTGTTTTATCTTATATGGTTTGCCTATCTAGGCATTTATACTAAAGAGTAACCTACTTAGTTGTCCTAATGATATCTAAGTATGACCTGTTATAGCAAACTTTACCTTCCACAGTTCTTTCTCTTAAAGCAAGAGAATGTACTTAGCTCTATGGTTAGGATTTACTGCCTGTTAACTACTGCCTTTTAGCTCATATTCTAGCTTGCATAAATACCTTTTTGTACTCAGTTATAAACTTCTATATTTGCAATCTTTAGGATTTCTGTTTAATTTTTTTTAATTTTTCTTCTATTATTTGGAGTGTCTTTTCAGTAGACACCTTCTCTGAGCTTCTATTTTGTTTTTTTTCTTCTTTACTTTTACTTTTATCTCTCTTCTTTCTTTTCTTAGTACTGTTCTGTCTTTTTATTACTTAAGTGATACTAAGTTTTTTTTCCTATTCATTAACTATGGCACATTGATCTTTCTAGATTCTTTTTTGAAAGAACTTTAACTACTTGTTAAGAAAGATAGTTGCTGCTTTCTTGGTTTTGGTGCTTGATATATCTTTTTTTTTAAGTAAGGATATTATATTATCTGCCAAAAGTCCTCTTACTATTTTTACA